TCCAGCATTTCTGTGGATTACAGAGGAGCAAGAGACTGGCATTTGACAGCTTCACCTCTCAAGAGCCCATCTGAGAATACATAGGACAAAGGCTTGAAAACCAAGAACCTGTGTCTATAAGCAGACTTTTCAGAATCTGCATCATCTTCTTGCTTCCAAAGTGGCCACACACTTGCTGGTGTGGGATACAGGGCCCACAGAGCAATGGCCATACATCTCCAAGAGCAACCTATCCCCAGCCAGCAGGGAGAGACCAGCACTGCAGTCTGGCAGTGGGACTCACCAAAATCTGAAGTGAAATGGGGTACTCCTTTCAAAGTGACCACTGCTTTTACTACATGGGAAAGTAGATGAGGGCTTTGTGGATACAACATAGGCCAAAGCCACAGCAATCAGCACAAAGCTTGCGGGGGGCATGCCATGGTCTCTGCTCTCCAGTCCTCTGCCAACAAGTTAAGGTAGACTAATATGTTTCTAGCTGTTTTTCTGTAATGCTTAAGATATTTTTTGTGTAAATGTTGCAAAACAAAATTTATTATTTCTTATGGAACAAATTTCCCCTGCACCCACACAACTTCATTTCTCTCCTTCCTCCTCTTCCAATGGTAAATTAAACATGGCAATGGAAAGCCTGCACAGCTCTTGGATTGGGTGGATTTTATTTTATTTTATTTTTAATCAAGAGGTACAAGTTCAGTTGTTCTTTTCTTCTCAGTTTTGGGGGCAGAGATTTCACCCATCAGGCAAGCTACATAAATAGGAAGGACTTCAACCTAAAACATCAGTGTGTTGTTTGTCTTGTGATTCACTATAACATTTCTCTAGTACCAGGCATGGCTGCCTCCCGAATAAGCAGAGTCAAAACTTTCCTGTAGGTGTCTAAGACCTCTTGGGCAGTGGGTCGTTCTGCCGGGTCCTTCTTCTTACACGCTGCATGGATGTCAAACAGATGCAGTCGTACAATGTCACTTCCTTCAACATGACCCAAGAAAAAATTGGAGACATCTGGGATTTTCCAGATGTCTGTTTTCTCATCATAGGGAGGCATGAGGTCATCTTCAAACGGCACATCTTCTCCATAGGGCCAACGCTGCTCAGGAGCTACAAACTCACCCCGGAGCTCCCTGTGACCACACTTCACCAGCCTGCCAGCACTCCTGTTCACAAGAGGCAAAGCGTCCAAGTCGTTCACCAGAACGTGAAAGTCACTTGTTAGGAGATACTGGGAGAGAACCTTGTCCAGGTCATTGGAGTCGCACATCACTAAGGTGCCCAGGGGGCTGCTGTGCAGGTACCGAATGACACCCACGTAGTCTATAGCAAGCATCAGCCTGCGATGCCAGGTGTTCATGCCCTTGTACTTGGGAATGTGGAGAGTTTCATTCAGACCTCTCAGTGAACCAAGAGGATGGTATTCGGTGAGGATTGTGAACTGCTGCTCACAGTAGCCAAGCAGACGGACAACGTGCTTGCTCTGAAGGGCTTTCAGCATCTTCAGTCCATGGAGAAAGTCCTCCTTCAGCTCTGAGTTGGTGAGCTGTGAAAGGACCACTTTCTTTTCCTTCCACTCAGAAAGGAAGACCTGAGAATACACAAGAAACACATAAGACACGTGGAGAGCCTTCTTCTGTGAACTGCTACCATCTGCTGCTGAGCTCTTCCTGTGATTGGTTAGTCACAACTGCAAATTACAGTTGTAATTTAATCACAGCAGGCACACACCAGGCACAGTCAGCTTTAGGTAGAGCCATGTACCGTCACAGCAAGCCCTTTCTGATGCCAGTTATGTCACGATTTCCTAAGTTTTCTTTGTAATGGACAATGCATATGAATAAAGTTATTCATATGTCATATAGATATATATTCATATGTCATATTCAATAAAGTCACCCAAATAGCCAGTCTTACTCTGCCATGATTGTACCAATCTGCGATTTTGCTTGTGTAGCTGGAAGTCGTTTGGTGCTGGAGAGGTGGCCCAGGTCATGCTCTCGTATCTGCTGTGTTCACCTCAACAGTAGCCCTATGGTCCTGGATGCCTACAGTAATTAGCTGCTGAGTGGATAATCATAACAGCAGTAGTATATTAATTACCCAGCAAACTGTGAAAGCTCTTTATCCAGAGGAGAGAAGAAAAGAAATCCAAACTCACCTTTTTCACAGCACCTTCACCAACACACTTGAGTTTCCTGACTTCCCTATTTATGGCCTCACAGGAAAGCCACGGGGAACAATTCTTCAGCGCTCCGAATTTGAAATGCCCAAAAGGGCAGAGGCCAGGGTCCGTTTCGGCACGTCCCAGAGAGCTGTAAAACTTGTTGAGGTACAGGTAGAGAAGGGCATTAAGGAGCAGGACGACCGCAAGCAGTAACGCCAGCGAGATGGGTGGCACCTCTCTGGGAAGAAACTCCCTCCTAACGAAATGCGGTTTCTTTTCCATGGCCGTGCCTTCCGCATCCTCCGTGAAAGACGAAGCCTCTTCCCAGCCCGGGGATGAACGCCTGTACGGCTTTTTCAGCGCCGGCTGCCCAGCCGTCCCGCAGGCAGGGCGCTCCGGAGCCCGCAGCCTGCGAGGCGAGGCCAGGCGTGACCAGAGGCGTTGAAGGCGGCTGCAAGCTCGACGCTCCCCGCGCTGCGCATCCTCCCGTGTTTCCGCGCAGGCGGGCCGGCGCTGCGGGCGGCGCAGACAGGGACGCCTGACCCCGGAAAGCAGCGGGAAGCGCGGGGAG